ATTTATTTATTTATTTATTCAATCAGGACAGTGCACATTAATGAACAATCTCATACGGATTGTAAATGAGCCAGATTCTAGCATAGTTGCTAATTTACGTCTGTCGTCCTGAGGCAGGAAGACCAAACAACAAAAAATCACATCAGAATCAGAATCAGAATCAGAATCAGATTTATTGCCAAGTAGGTTTTTAGACTTACAAGGAATTTGCCTTGGTGTTAGGTGCACAACACAACACTTCTATGAGAAGCAATAATAAAATGTAGAAATAAAAATATAGGACAGAAATGATAAAACTGAAAAATACAATCTTTAAAAATATAGATCTGAATGTACAAATGAACAATCTTTAAAAATATAGATCGGAATGTGCAAATTAACAATTGAGATGTGCAATGTTGATCTGCAACGACAGACCAGAAAATGCTGAAGCATTGGGTAAATTAGTGAGGTAGGGGGGGGGGGGGAAGAATAGGTGGGGGTCACTGGTCTTGTTGATGAGGCCAGTTGCTCCTGGATAGAAACACATAATACAACATCAGTTAAAACAGAGAGACACACGTTCAGACAATGACATTACAACAATAAAATTAGTGAGTGCATGCCTGGGAACTTTTGAGAAACAGTTTAAGGTGCTTTTTAAATGTGTAAAAAGTGGGACCTTCCCTGATGTTTGTTGGGAGGCTGTTCCAGAAGTGACCCCCCTCTGACCGATAGAACGGTTTGTATTATTGAATAATGAGTACATTACTATTATTGAGTAATGTAGGTAGAAAGTGGAGGTGGGGCTAATCCATTCAGAATTTTGTAAATTAAACAACTATTTTTATAATGAATAAAGTTTTCAAAACTGAGCATATTATATTTTTCCAAAATATTACATTGATGGAATGACAGGGGCTTTTGATCAAAGATTTTTTAAGATTTTTTAAATAATATTTCTATTGGTTTTAAAGTTGTTTCTCATGGGGGGGGCTGTCGGTTTAACCCCTGATTTTCCCAGAGATTTTACCCAGAATTTTGGATATTCATCGAAACGTTGCTACTTTAGTGAAATGCGACCAGTAGAATTTTTGGCTGTGGGTTTTGCCCATTTAGACTTCTGGTTTCGAAGGGTTTCAGGGTTCAAAATGGCCGATTGACATTGTCTGGGTGTGAGAAAATCTAAAGCCGTTAGCCCGTCGTGCGCTCAGCTCCGTGGGGTCGGACGGGCTGGCAAATTAAGTTTTTATATCAAATATATGCAAAATAAACAGGGAACCAACAAAACAATGTCTTCGTTTGAAATCCATCGTCCTCCAAGTTATCTTTTGGCCTATTTTGGACTGATTTGGGTCAGTTTGGGTAGGCTTTGGACCAGTTTTTGACCGGTTTAGCCCCCTTTTGGACTGGTTTGTGTTAGTTTTGGGTTGGTCTGGGTTTGTTCAGGTCAGATTTGGACCGGTCTGGGTCTGGTTTGGGCTGGATTGGGTTTGTTTTGAGTTGTTTGGGTCCATTTTGCACCAGTTTGGGTCTATTGTTGACCAGTTTGGGTCTGTTTTGGACAAGTTTTGGTCCGTTTTGGGTTAGTTTGGTTCCTTTTTGGGTAGGATTGAGTTAGTTTGGGTTGTGCTGGAGCCCACAGACAGAATAGAACCAATCGGGCTTCTTTTGGCAGCTAACTAACAACTTTTCAACTTTTTAGAGTCGTTATTCCTGCTGACTAATACCAAATTCCCACAAATTTCTAACCCTGCTAAAGGCTATAAAAGTTTGTCCCCCTGGTTCCTAGATGCCGGGGAAAAGGGAGGCCAGGTGTCGGGGGGGCAGAAGCAGCGGATCGCCATCGCCAGAGCTTTAATCCGAAATCCCAAAATCCTGATCCTGGACAACGCCACCAGCGATCTGGACACCGAGAACGAACACCAGGTATAAGACAAAAAAACCCACTCGGTCTTACATCGTTTTCTTAGTTTGTTTGGGACGTTTTTCGCCATGTGTGTCGACACTCCCCAGCAGAGATGTAGAAAGGACGGTGGTGAAGTAGGGTGGAGTAGAAGTACAAGTACTATATAAAGAAACTGACTTTAGTAAAAGTTGAAGTGTTCTTTCAACACCATACTAAAGTGGAAGTACAGAAGTACTCCATTTTTTTGTACTTAAGTATTGCAAGTAGAAGTATTTCAAAAATTGCTACTCAAGTATCAAAAGTAAAAGTACAAGTACTGTGTATATTTAAAAAGGCAGTCAAAAGTTTGACAGATATTGTTTATATTATTTCAAACGTGTGAAAGGCCATACAGGTGTTTACAAAAAACAGAAAACTACATCTGCATTAGCGATCAACAGCACTTCATCTACTATTATTTATTATTCCAGAGTCAGAATCCTGAGCTGAGCCTTTATGCTAGCATGTAGCATACAGCTAGCCAGCTTGGTTAGCTTTAGCTAATGTTATCATACAGCTAGCCAGCTAGGTTAGCTTTAGCTAACGTTAGCTGCTACGTCCTGAGTGAACATAGAGAACTGAACTAGCGCTTATTTACTAGCTTATATGTCATTGTATTTTTAACTTACCTTGATATGCTTCCTCAGATTAGATGGGGAATATTTGAATTGCATGATTTCACAATCTTTCGGGAGGCTTTTTTTATAGGCTATGATTGATAAAATCGCCCAATGAGGAGCCAGCTTCACAAACCCTGACAGAGCTATCTATTATTAAGTTTACATATCAGTAACGAGTAACGATTCAGCCCATAAACGTAAAAGTATTAAATGGATCAAAAATATGTAGTGGAGTAAAAGTAAAAGTAGGGAAAAAATATATACTCCAATAAAGTACAGATACTGCATTTTAGTACTTAACTCATTGACTGCCAGCCATTTTCAGAACAGAGTCCCATACTGCCAGAGTTTTTTGAGCACTTTGACTGATTTTTCAAGAGCCACAGAATAGTTTGTGCTATGACTATGTAAACACCGAACACACCAAAAGAAAGAGTAGACTCTCTTCTTTCATCAGGAAAAAAAATGTGTTTCTACCTTATTCCGTTCTTCCTGGACTTGCGTCTCACCGGCGACATGTTCTCTCATAGAACCGTTAGCTTTTTCTTATTTGCCTACAGTCTATGCTCATCTCCCATCAAAAGTGGCACTGCCCCCTAGAGGGTCAATTTGTTACTACATACTCTGTCTAGAAGCCTGATATTTACGGAAAAGCTTTAGCAGATCGTCCCCCAGACACTCTCGTTGAAAAACATAAAAGACGTCTATAGACGACTTTGGCAGCCAATGAGTTAAGTACAGTACTTAAGTAGCTCTACTTCGTGACTGAACATCCCTGACCCCCCCAGGTGCACGAGGCTCTGTTCGGCCTGAACCAGAGCTGCTCGGTGCTGATGATCTCCAACAAGATGAGCGTGGCGGAGAAGGCCAGCCACATCGTTTTCCTCCACGAGGGGCGGGTCCAGGAGGAGGGCAGCCACGCCCATCTGATGGCCAGGGGGGGCCTCTACGCCGAACTGGTGGAGAAGCAGAAAAGAGGCTTCGACCGGCCGGGAGAAGCCAACGACGAAGACGAGCAGAGTGGAGAGGAAGGAGAAGGACTTTAGTTTGTTTGAGACTTTTGCACCTCCAATGGAGAAACCCCTAAAAAAAGTTCTACCCCCCCCCGACCCGTCCAGCTCAAATCGATCAGGTTAACGAAGAGCAAAACAGAAACTTTCATGTGTAAGGTACAGAGGAATCATAAAAAAAATCAATATCTCCATAAAGCTGTGCGATTTACCAGCCTCCAATCGTTCTTATTTATTCCGTAATACATAATCAATACATCATTTGTCACATTACACAGCTCTTAAACCCTATTTATTATTTTCTGTATGCTTTTAGACAAGATGCTAGTTGGGGAGTTTATTCATTGATTTAATGTGCTGTAGTACAACTATAATATGCCATTAATAAGTAATCGGTAATGATTATTGAATAAATAGTTCTGTAACTACATTAAGCAGCCAGTATGAGCAGATTCTCACTGTGTGTGTTCTGAATTGAAAAGGAAATCCTGTTTATGTCAGATTACAATTAAGTGAACTGAGAGAATTGGGTTGATGGACTCTTAAGTTGATTTAACTTTGAGTGAGAATCTTCTAGCGCGGAGTTTATTGTTTAATTCACTGCGCGTACAAGTACAAGAAATTTTAGATTTTGTGTTTTGCGGTGTTTAAAACTATTTCTAATCTTGCTTGTCAGAGTTTTTCTTTTCTTTTTTCACTGTTTGCAGGAGCGATAACTCTTTCAATGTTTGAAAATGTTCGTCAAAGACTTCTTATAATAAACATTTTGTCTAAATATGTTGTCGTTTGATTTTGCAGCTTTAAAGGCGCAAAGCTCGGAGACTTATCTGCTCTGAGGCGCATTAATCTGAGCATGTTTACAAATGAAGGATATTTTTTACACATTTCAAACTTGTGGCTGGAGATTTGGAAGTTGGGATTTCAGTACCAATGAAATATTTGGGCATTCTTACATTTTACAGGGTTTGGTATTATCTTTTCTCATTAATCGTCCTTAGAAAATGTGGAATACTGTTCACATAGAAATGACTAATTATGAGATGTATGTTTTTTTTCAACATCAACAAATATCTCTTTTATACTAAAAATATATAAGTATGTCCTGGCTGTCGTGAAATAAATTAATGTGACATATTTCTTTCCACAATCCAGGCAGGTAGTTTTGGCTGAAAACAAAGTCTATTCCATCAAGGTTAAGTGAAATTTGGAAATTAAACCCAGATACATCAAATATACACAAATATATCTAAAAAGATAAAAGATACAGCTGCAAATGATTATCTAAACTAGATACAAAACATAAATTCCACCAAAATGTGTTAAAATGTAATTGATTACATTAAACAAAATACCAAACATTAATTCCACCAAAATGTTCAAAAATGTAATTGATTACTTGAAAAATAAAACATAAATTCCACCAAAATGCAATTAATTACTTTAAACAAAACAAAAAACATAAATTCCACCAAAATGTGTACAAATTCAATTGATTAAACTAAATATAAAACATAAATTCCACCAAAATGTAATTAATTACTTTAAACAAAATATGAAACATACATTCCACCAAAATGTGTTACATTTTAATTGATTAAACAAAATATAAAACACAAATCCCACCAAGATCTGTTCAAATTTAATTGAAAACTGTATTTACATAAATCCTGAGAACTGATGACGTTGTTTTTAATGGACGTTTGGTCCCAGCCAATAGGAGCACCGGCTTGGCCACGCACGCGATGCCTTGTCACGTGACGCATTTATATAGGGTCAAGCGGAAGTGCTTGGTAGCCATTTCGCTCTGAGAACCGCTCCAGTGTTCGTTGGGTGGAAGTGCAGCGTCAAATTGGATGGTAAAAACACTCCGCCCTCAGCCCAATGGAAGCGGCCGTCAACCCACCCCACGACAGGTAAACGTCCACTGCATCTTTATGCAAACCCCGGCCGTTTTTTAAGCACCTTTACGTTATTCTGAAACGGACTATTTTTTTTTATTTAATCGTGTTGCTACGACGCTGTTGTTGTTAGCCTCGCTAGCTTGTCAGCCAACGGTTGCCGTTTAGCATAGACATGTTTAGCTAGCTTTCGCGGGAGGCTGCTGTCACGGCGTTTAATGCTTTTATTTCCGAGGTAATATCTTTTCCCCGGTGTTTTTTACGTTCTCCGTGTATTTATCTTTATTTTAAAGGCGGTTTGCACGTCGGAGGCTGATGACAGCTGCTCCCCGCCCGCCCTCCGGTTCTCCGTTCCCGGGTCATTCATTTGCTCACAGACCGCTCTCTGACGCTAATCTCGGTCCTCGTATGATCAACACATGAGCTAATTCGTCATTATGAAATGCATACAAGCCCGCATGGGTTTAAGCTGCAACCGTCCCCGGGTCCGGGGACTAATAGCAGGCGTTGTAAACCGTTAGATCTGTCCGCCTCCGCGGACACTTTTCCGGCCAAAATGGCTCGAATCGACCACCGGATGGCTCGAAAAGCTGCGGATCGCGATAAAATGTTGGTGCTTTGCGCTGTGTTTTTTGTTTTTGTTTTGGTTGGACGGTCCTCGGGGCTCCGTAACGGTCGTTATGGACCGGTGTTTACAAACGGGGAGGGCGGGGCGTCCTCACCACGCGATCCACAGCTGGAGGAGGCTGAGTCCGGGAGGCCGGTCTGTATCCGGAGCCCCGGGCCAGATGTGGTTTTTACCCTGGTGTGGAGACTTTTAACAGGCAATGGTGTTGATTTTAAACTTGTACAAGATCTTAAGATTATAGGATTGTGCATATCTAAGAAGTTATTTTGTCTCCTGGTTATTTTTTTTCTTCTAAAAGAATGTTATAGACAAACTTTGTAATGTATATTCCATCAGACACCATTATTTATTTATTTATTTATTTATTTATTTATTTATTTATTTATTTATTTATTTAATCAGGACAGTGCACATTAATTAACAATCTTATATCTTATTCTGGTAAATGAGCCAGATTATAGCATAGTTGCTAAAACCCCTGGAGACTTTTACCAGCCAATAGTGTTGATTTTAAAATTGTGCAATATCTTTAGATTTTAGGATTGTGCACATCTAGGAAGTTATTTTGGTGCCTGTTTTTTTTTTTCTTCTAAAAGAATGTTATAGACACACTTTGTGAATTATAATCCACCATTGACTAATGCATAGCTAGTTTGAAAGTATAAATAACTCCATTATTCATCACAATTAGAAGGCTAAACCCCCTGGAGACTTTTAACAGCCAATAGTGTTGAGTTTAAAGTTATACAAGATCTTCGGATTCTAGGATTGTGCACATTTAAGAAGTTATTTTGTTTCCTGGTTATTTTTTTTCTTCTAAAAGACTGTTATTAACACTATGTGATTTATTATCCACCATTGACTAATGCATAGATAGTTTGAAAGTATAAATAATTCCATTCTTCATCACTTTGGCACAATTAGAGGCCTAAAACCCCTGGAGACATTTAACAGCCAATAGTGTTGCTTTTAAACTTGTACAATATCTTTAGATTCTAGGATCGTGCACATCGAAAAAGTTATTTTGGTTCCTGGTTACTTTTTTTTCTTCTTCTTTATTTTATTTTCTTTCTTCTAAAAGAATGTTATAGACATACTTTGTAATGTATATTCCATCAGACACCATTATTTATTTATTTATTTAGTTGTTTAATCAGCACAGTGCACATTAATGAACAATCTTATATTTCTGTACAGATTGTAAATGAGCCAGACTATAGCATAGTTGCTCATTTACATCTGTCTATCTGAGACACACTTTGTGATTTATAATCCACCATTGACTAATGCATCGATAGTTTGAAAGTATAAATAACTACATTATTCATCACAATTAGAGGGCTAAAACCCCTGGAGACTTTTACCAGCCAATAGTGTTGATTTGAAAGTTATGCAATATCTTTAGATTCTAGGATTGTGCACATCTATGAAGTTATATTGGTTCCTGGTTATTTTTTTTCTTCTAAAAGAATGGTATTGACACACTTTGTGATTTATATCCACCATTGACTGATGCATAGATATTTTGAACGTATAAATAACTCCATTATTCATCAATTTGGCACAATTAGAGGGCTAAAACTCCTCCACTCACCTGATTCATGAATGGGTCTTCATCGGCCTTCCCTCGTGTGTAAAGAAGTGGGGAGCTGTCCTCTTTATTTAAATCAGGTGTGCTGGAGGAGGGAAACTTGTAAGACATGAAGGCCGTTGTGCCTTGAGGACCAGGGTTGCTAAACTCTGATAGAATAGAATATAGAAAATGCTTTATTCAACCCCTATGGTGGACATTCAGAATCCAAACATGGTCCAAACTAATGCAAATATAATACAAGAGAGCCTTGGCAGTTAAAATAGGTTTTCACTTCTATATTTTGTATAATTTTCTCTCTTTTTTCTTCAAGTACCTCACATTAATGATGGCAAATCAGATTTATCATGCTTGGAAAAATGACCTTGTTATAAAATCTAACACAAGGCATGTAATACATACACCCACACACACCACTTTCATCACAACCCTACTCTTAATAATATCTGTTGAATGTAAACACTTTAAAAACATCCATTATGAACCTGTTGGGTCAGATTTAATGATTGTATATCACTGAGTATATTTGTTATGGCTTCACGGACTGCTATGTGTTTTGTAGATTTAAAGTTTCTCAGTATTAGATGTCCTAAAATGATAGGGAATACATTTTAAGTGCTTATTTATTATACATGGTGCCATAGGTAAAGATACAGGCTCACAAATCAGTGCTTTATTACCAGTAGAAATATAAAGCTGTGTTTATTTTGAAGTTTGAAATCCGAGCATGTTTGCTGTGATTGATTTATCCGACCTATAAATAAGGCTTTTGTCCGTATATTTTTGGAGCTGGATGTATGAATGAGTGATGTTGACTTTGGGCTCGTGTTTATACGCCGGTAGTGTTCCCATGACGATGCTAAAAGTAGCGGCCTGTCGAAGGAATCCCAGTTTCCTCCATTTATCTGACGGCTAGTTTCTCTGGTCGTGTGGGTTATGTGAACGAGGCGCGTTTCAGCTGAGACTCCGGCGTGATTCCATTTCCCATGAATCCACGGCTTCCCGGGATTAGACGGCAGATCAGTTTGTTATGTGAGTCTTTTCCTTTATTGGAGGGCCTCTTGGCTTTGTGTTGCTTTACAAATATTAGCTCTTTTGCTGTTTGTGTTGCAAGATTTAGTTGTCAGGATACTAAGATTTTCAACTTGATACCGATACTCAGGAAAATATTCGGTATTCAATACCGTTTTCGATACCACAAGGATAAAAACAGAGACCCCAAAATGTAACTGAATTTTAACAGGTTAGTGTCTTTGGTTTCAAACTAACCTGTTACTGATGTTATGGTGGCCCACATTAATGACCCTAACCCTAACCCTCCAGCCGTCATAATTGTGAGAAATAAATACTTTTTGGTTAAATTTGTTTGGACTTATTGTACAAACCAATTTAACATCCACTATTTTAACATAATATCATGGATAGAGTTTAATTCAGTGTTAGCAAGATTCATTTCACTATTTTTAAATTAATGTCTATTTTTCCATGAAGCAGTAGTAGCTAGTAACAAAAATAATTTCCCTCTGGGATTATTAAAGTATTTCTGACTCTGACTCTGATTAATTCCTCTGGTAAACATAAATAAAAGTCTTCTCCCCTCCCCTCTCTCTGCCGGTAGCTCTCTGGTTGGGCTCTCCAGCGGCGCGATGGAGCAGCACAGCAGCTCGGGGAAACGCATCCGTAAGCCCTCGCTGCTGTACGAGGACTTCGAGAGCCCCTCCCTGCCCCACGCCCTGCCCCAGGCGCCCCCCGCCCCCCCGCAGCCCCCGGTGAAGGACCCCAGCCGCCAGGGCCGCATGACCAACCAGCTGCAGTACCTGCAGAGGACCCTGCTCAAGTGCCTGTGGAGGCACCACTTCGCCTGGCCCTTCCACGAGCCCGTGGACGCCTACAGGCTCAACCTCCCGGTGGGTCCCGCCCCCCCCAGTCAGATTTATAAATTCTTCAGTTATTTTTTGACTGTGTCAATTAGGGATGTCCCGATCCAATCCGATCTGATCTGATCCCGGCCTATTAGAGCATGTGTTAAAGTTTAAAGTTGTTTAGCTAATTACTTGGTTGTCAGAATCAGTGGCCCAGCAGAAGACTCCTCTCACTATCACTTATTTTAGACCTATATATACATATAGTTACTTATGTATATTTATTTATATTCTGTGTGGAATTTTGTTTTTCTGGAGTTAGTAACAAAAATAATTTTCCTCTGGGATTATTAAAAGATTTCTGATTCTGATGTTGAACAGGGATTTACTCTGAGAAAAACTTAATGGTTAGGACACAGACCTGTGGGTTAGCAGATGCTAATGCACTATTTCGGCGGCCGATTCGATCCAGATATCGGATTGGGACAGGCCTAGTGTCGATTCACGAATGAGTAGAGGAATTTTAATATATTAGGGATGTCCCGATCCAGCTTTTTTCCCCATCCAATACCGATCCCATCTATCAGAGCATGTGTTAAAGTTTAAAGTTATCAGTTGTCAGACTCATGTTGAACAGGGATTTACTCTGATAAAAACTTAATGGTTAGGACACAGACCTGTGGGTTAGCGGATGCTAATGCTAATGTGGGATCGGACTTTAAAAAAAAAAAAACTAAATCGGATATCCCGATATCGGTTCGGGACCAGCCTAGTGTCAATTCACGAATGAGTGGAGGAATTTTAATCTTTCCTGTTCATCGTTTTTCAGGATTATCACAAAATCATCAAGCAGCCGATGGACATGGGAACCATAAAGAAGCGTTTGGAAAACAACTTCTACCGCAGTGCGAGCGAGTGCATTCAGGACTTCAACACCATGTTCACCAACTGCTACATCTACAACAAGGTAGGGGTCCGGTAGTTTCCATTTCACTTCCCTTTCCCAAAGTGAGAGCTGGAGAGGAAACTGAGCTCAGAAGCATCTTTAAGGGCTGGCACCAGCTTCTGCTCTTCATTTGAGAGCACGCAGAAGGATTTTAAAGGACCAAAATGAATTAATTACATTGATGAAAGAGAAACTTTCATGATGAATTTTTGCCAAATTAGTTTTAACAGGAGGTTATGTAAATGTCCAGATCTGTCAGTAAGCATTCAGGCTCTTAGTAAGAGAAGAAGATTATTTTTATCTTCAGTTTTTAACTACTCTCTCGTTTGTTTGATTTTCAAAGATGGAAAATCTTCCTCCAGCCCAACATTTTTTGAGCTGTAAACGCTATTCCGCTTGTTCTTTTCCCTGCTTAGCCCACAGACGACATCGTGTTGATGGCCCAGTCCCTGGAGAAGATCTTTCTGCAGAAAGTAGCCCAGATGCCCCAGGAGGAGATCGAGCTTCCTCCGCCAGCCCCCCGCAACAAAAACAGCCGAGGAAGAGGCCGCAAATCCAGCAGTGAGTGTTAGATAAGCGTGGAAGCGGCTGCCAGTTCTTCTTTACCTTAACCCTGTAATGCCAAATGTATCATATTTGATCCATACGGTTTCTGAAATGTTTTGTGTCTGACACCTTTTGCATCATTTAATGGTAAAAACTTTGCTCAAAATCCTATTGTACACAATCAGATACACCTGATAACAGGGGGCAGAAGACTACACAAAAAATAATCTTGACTTATCGCATAGTAATGAATTATTAATATTAAAAATGTATTTTTGTTTTTTCTTTTCACATATTTTGTTAAAGGCCAAATAAAGACTTCAAACCAAAAAAAAGTAATTTTTTGTTTTGTTTTATTCTTGGATCAGGCTTTAAAGGGTTAATCAAATTCTGCCTACTTTTTTTTCCCAGCTAAAATCAGGTGAAAATTTAGCTGTTATGCAACTAATTTGATGCTTAGTCCAAAACTTGAAACTTGGTTTTCATATTTCAGAGGTAAAATTTCACATTTATTTAGGGGATCAAGGAATATTGTCTTCTTATAGCCTAGTTGAAGGTTTCTAAGCCCACCACTCGTTGATTCTCAGATGAAATAAGGTGCCTAACCTCTGCTGCTCAGAGGGGAAGAAATCATTCTTGTATGATTTAATTAGGGCTTTATTGGTTTTCACACAATATCCAACTATAGAAAATAGATCACATATAGATTTGAACTGGGTTTTTTGTAAATATGAAGGGATTTCTGTATATGCCTTTGTTTTACTTATGGAGCCTGTAACAAAAATAATTTCCCTCTGGGATTATTAAAGTATTTCTGATTCTGATTCTGATTTCCTCGCTGCTTTTGATGGCAGTTTATGTTTAGAATCATTTTTTTTCCAGCATCTATGTCTCGCTGAGTTGTATTTGTGAAGTTCTGCACGTCTTTTCTCCCAGCATCCCGGGCTCAGCAGGTTCCCGCCGTGTCCCAGTCGGCCTACTCGCCCTCCTCCTCCGACACCGGGGACTCCATGCTGGCCAACTCTCCCCAGACGGTCCTCACCAAAAGCCTGCCTCCCGCCACCATCATGGGCCTGCCCCCCACGCAGCCCACCACCAAGGTGTGTCTGAACCTCCCAAACCTCCCAAACCTCACACTCAAGATCCAGACTCAAGATCCAGTTTTTTTTCTGAAGCGTGAAGCATTTAGCATAACAGCATTATCTGGCTTTACTCGTCTCAAAAACTGTCTAGGACCAATGAGGAGACCACGTTTTTTGTTATAAGCTGCCAAAATATCACCAGTTTCCACAGAAATGAAGTAATTTGTCCTGTTTTTAACAGGAAAAAGGAATATAAAACCGACGTGTGAAGGGGGCGTCGAGTTAAGCTAACAGCTAACAGCGGCTAATTTGCTGCTTTCCCCTGAAAAGTCTTTTCAGGGAATTTTTAACCCAAATCAGTCAACTGTTGCACTTAACTACACCCTGAAAACCTAAACTGGCACCTAAACAGGGACATTTCACAGCTGTTCTTCACACATTTACATATCAACCCAAAGCTTTTGAAGTTGTGAAGACTCCAAGGTCTCCATTATGCTGGTCTCGATATGATATCTGGATCAGATTGGCCGCCGATATTTGCAAAAAAACTGCTTATCGGCCGGCAGGAGAAAAGGGCGATCCAGACTCCAGATCCAGTTTTTTTTTTTAAAGTCAGATCCCACATTAGCATTAGCATTAGCATCTGCTAACCCACAGGTGTGTGTCCTAACCATTAAGTTGTTATAAGAGTAAATCCCTGTTCAACATGAGTCTGACAACTAAGTAAGTAGATAAATAACTTTAAACTTTAACACATGCTCTGATAGGCCGGGATCGGATTGTAAGATCGGGACATCCCTACTCTAGATGTGTAAAAAATGCCTCGTGGGATGAAAAGACAGACGGCTTCATAAGTCTGAACGATTCGACGAGAGGCAGATTAACCCTTGTGTGATGTTCATATTGTTGTAGCTCAGCCAGTGTCACTTTTATATTAAAACACTTTTATATTAAAATACTGAACAGATGTTTATCTTATCTTAACTTCTCTCTCTCTCTCATCCAAAATCAATTCCAGGGCCCTCTGGGCAGAGAACATTTCGGCCATCTTGATCGGTTATAAGAAACCACTCTGGCAAAGCTGTGCCAGTGTGGCCCCGCCCCCAATTTTTAGCAGATAGACAGAGGGTCAAATGTGCGAGAAAATTAGAGCAGACGAACAATGTGTGGGAACCGTTTCTTTGGTTTTTGTGCACCTGCAGTTCCCACACAAGGTTGCAACATTGTGAGTGCGTGTGTTTGTCTTTGTGTGGTTTACAGAACATCAATTTCCACACTTCTATTAGTGGACCCGAACATCTTATATGTAATAGAAATGTGTAGGGGGGTACGGTGTGTGGGCATTAAATATGAATTCTGATTTATGTTCTTGACAGAAAATGAGCCAAAGCCAGTGAGTTTCAGTTTGAAAAATTAATTCATTGTATCATTTTTCTTTTAGTAAAAAATGAAAACGGGTCCCACAGACCCGAACACCACACAAGGGTTAAAAGAGCCTCGTTGTTTTTGTTTTTGTGTTTTCTCTGTAGAAGAAAGGCGTGAAGCGTAAAGCGGACACCACCACCCCCTCCACCATGGGCTTCTCCGTGGGCATGTCGGGCGCCGCCCACCTGGTGGGGCTGGGCAAAGGGGGCCACGGGGGGCAGGTCCACGACCCCTCCATGCACCCCCTCTCCTCCATGGGCGGCCTGGGCCTGGACACCCCCCCGGGCCTGGGCCTGGTGCGGAGCCCCGGGGGCCCGGTCCTCCTCCAGCCCATGATGGCGGGCGGCGGTGGCGGGCGCCGGGTGGGCAGCGGGCGCCCCATAAAACCCCCCAAAAAAGACCTCCCCGACGCGGTTCAGCCGCTGCCCTCCAAGAAGGGAAAGCTGAGCCCCCAGCTGAGGCACTGCAGCGGGCTGCTGAAGGACATGCTCTCCAAGAAGCACGCCGCCTACGCCTGGCCCTTCTACACGCCCGTGGACGCCGCCGCCCTGGGTCTCCACGACTACCATGACATCATCAAGTGCCCCATGGACCTCAGCACCATCAAGGTCGGTTTATTTTTCTTCAATTAGTGTTTAGTAGGGGTGGGACGGTTCACAAAATCCACGGTTCGGTTCGATTCACGGTTTCGTGGTCACGGTTTTCGGTTCGGTTCGGTTATATGTTGATTGTTAGGAAAATCTATTATGTCTTGTATAGTCCGCTTAAAACTGAAAGAAAAAAGCAATCTGACCTACAGCAGAACTATAAACTGCTGTTTTCGGATTTTTATCGGCTAGCTGCTTCGCTTCTTCTTCTTGTTTCCTACTGGTTGTTGGCTTTGGGCGCAGTAGCGCCCCCTTCTGCTCTGGAGTGTAAACGCTTCCCTCTGAGAAAAAGGAGCAGCATGAACCGAACGCAACACACGCGAACCGAACCGAGACAGTCCAACCCAACGGTTCGGACGGTTTTCAGAAACCGTCCCATCCCTAGTGTTTAGTCTTACAAGCAGCGTACATCGTGCTAGCACCGTCACATCTTACTCTCGTAAACTTATATAATATTTCAGACTTTCCGAACAGTTCTGTGAACTTCATAGACATGTCATTACTTCTGACTTTGCGCTGTAAATAATTTTTTTTAGCTCCCTCCATCACTGCTCTTTGAATTCCGGCAGTAAGCCGTGACAAAAAGCACTGATGACTTCTGGGACGGCATGGTCATGTAGTAATTTTTTAATTGCGTTACATTGTATGCATATTAAAAGGGAAACTACAGAATGGTGCATTTACTTTTTTTTTTTTTTT